CCCCCACCCCGGACTGTTTTCAAATAACATATTCATTCAATTAAGTATTTAAAAAAGTTTCCATTCTTGTTCTTCAGCCAAAGGTGTGCTGAGCAGGTGGTGAGTCAGTAAGTATATGAACAAAAGACAGGATGAATATAAGTGGCAGCTTCAGTTTTATTAGAACAAAACAAAAAAGAGACTCTCTGCAATCACCACCCTGCAGTCTCACTCTACTATTAAGTAGTTCCAGTGCAGATTTAAGGTTCTGTATCACATAATAAAAAATTAAAAAGAGCATCTTCACTTACTCCTAATTTCCCACACCCTTCCTTCTCCCTCCATTGGAGTGCTCCACAGAAACATCACCAACAATCTCTGTATCTCATTTTACCTTTGAGAACTTTTTTTTTTTTAACCCGTATTGGATACTAACTGGAAACTGTAAAAAAAATTACCATCAAAATAGAAAATTCTTGAGATCATATGACTGTTTATCTATCTGTAACACTCTCACCCTTCAAAAACTCATTTTAAAAAAAAACTAATAGATTTTCCCAAAATTTACCAAACCCTCAAACTTCTTCCTCTCAGAAAAGCTATGTGTCAGATATGCAGTGCAATAAAGGGTAACTCTCTTGCTGTATCTACAGGGAAGGAGAAAAGGACAGGACAGACAAGAGAAGCAAGAGCAGCTCAGGAAACCCAAAGAGCTTAAATATCAGAAGGAAAAGTGAAGTTAAGCACGTGGCCCTGCGTGCATCCCTCCAAGCTACGGGAAAATGAAGGACCTGGAAGATGACCAAGGTATCCAGGTTCAGCTGTAGTTCTGCCGTATGAGCTCTCATAATTCTTGCCACTCGTGCAAACCCAGGGGACACTATATTCCTTCTTATTTATACAGCATTCTTATCATTAAATGTACCAAACAGTGCACATTAGAAGGAAATTGAGCAAGTCCTGTCAGATATCTGAGTTTCCTTTTGTTCAGATGAAGCTGTTTTCCAACTGCTCACATTTAAAACTAAGCCTTTTTCACAGGCAAAGAAAAAGTCATTACAATTTTCACAAAAAACTGGTATTATAAATTGTTCCACAACCTACAAAAATTTGATTAAGTACAAAAATATGCATTTGTCTTAAAATAAAACATAAAAAAGCTGCACATTTGCTTACATAATACCAAAAACTTAAAACATGTTAAGTTGTGGTATTAATTTATACATCTAGATTGGCAATTTGTGTGTAGAAAAGGAAAGCTATAGTTAACAGCCTGCTGTACTTATTAGCAAGAGACTGGTGATGACTTTTACCATGAAGGCAGTTCAGTATAAAATTCACTGGCAGAAACTTGTCTGAGAAACAATTGGATGGCCAGCTGCAGAACTTAAAAAATTTCAACATAGCCAAAAGTTACTTCACACGTGTAATTAAAAATATAACAAAATCATGAAAAGGGAACATGCATACATGATAAAGGCTGTAAAATCACAAAGATTTGGGTAGATCTATCTTCTGAACTTCTACCAGTTAATGAATTTTGAGCAATTTTACTTGGAAGTATCAATACTGTATCTTTTCTGTGAACTTCCTCATTTGCTAATACACACCATGGCTTAAACTGCTATAATATCTTTTCAGTAATGGTGATTCATCTCAGTCCTCTGTACCCTCCAGGGGACAATCTTTTACAGCAGATGCAGGACCATCCAAGTTTCTGAGCAGATCCTTAATTTCATTCCAGTTTCTATTTCAATGGAGCGCTGACTAAAGCTTGAAGTCAGATTACAGCATTTTAGGGAATGCTATAGCACGAGGGGAACAGTGAGAATACCATCACATAAACAATAATTATACATATAAAGTGCATCTGCATATATTTTGGTACTACAGCCAGCCTGAGAGATTCAGCTCACGCTAATGAAAGCGCCTCCAGGTTGATTAGCAACATGGTTTCTAGGCTCTGTGGACTGTACTGACTACAGTTCTAGTACCTGTAATGACAGCTTGGACACCCAGTGAAGATAACTAAATTTAGGTGTTTTAATTTTGAAATGAACTGCATTCATTGTAACTTCTGTGGTAGAAATTTCATAGATAAAACTCATCTCTTGTCAGTGTTTTTATAAAGTTATTTTACTGAGCAGCATCAACATAATTTTCATAAATCATTCCTTCCCTTGCTGAAAAATATGCTGTGGCTAAGAAAGTTACCCTTGCCAACACAGTACTAAAAAGTAGTAATGTGAAAAGTTACCATACCTGGCTAAAATCCTGCTGCCTCAAGTAAGTAGTGGCTTTATTTATTTCCAGGTCATTGGCTAACTCGACATATTGGGAAGCTTTTACTACTTCAACACACCTGCAACAAAACAAGCCATAAAGACAAACAAAATGCATCTGTGCAAATGTCACTAAGTTATATGCTTTTGCAGCCAATTCATTTTCCAAAATGAGTTATGCTTAATTATTCTTTCTTTAAAGAGTAAAGAGCACTTTGGTTAAAAATATTTGGAAGAACATTTTATTCCCATAACCTACCTTAATAATACTATCTCTGCTCTCGTATATTTTTTACTCAGCTGCCTAAATATCGTATTATTTTTCCATCACTGAGTGATACCTGATGTCAGATATTGACTGAGATCATTTTTCAAACCATTTTCTTTGGATATGTTCTATCAGCTGATTTTTCAAACCTGATCTCCTGTGGCATCTGCAATCAAGCTCAAACTATTGGTTAAACTTCTTCACTGGGCCACAGCCTAGAATACCTCAGCATAGAATAACAGAATAAATCTGTCCTGATACACACAAAATAATCCCACACATCTCACATGAAATTGTTTGGTTAGACAGAACAGATATGAGAGTGTTTTACTTCATGACATGTATTTTGTGGATGGCACTAAGGAAACTGAATATCTGACAACCTTTTCCAGTTTTCTTGAACAAAAAACAAGATACAGAGCAAATATATCTGACTTATGCTAACAAGTAATAAAGCTAATTTTCCCAAGATATACTGTTTAAAGGTCTCATAAATCAGAATGGCAAAAGTAGGGAAATTATAATCTTATAATGATTATTAAATCATCAAACACCACCTTGTGGACTCAAGTAGGCTAAACACATCTGTGTGAGAGATTATTTCGTGTTAGTATAAATAGCTTTATTAGCAAATTATAATTATAGAACTTGCAAATTTTGAAAATAATCCTAACTGGCCAAGGAAAGGAAAAAAAAAAAGATAAAAAGGAAGTTTGCTTTTCCCAAATTTCTTTCACTTCCTAAACACTGGACATAATCTGTTTGTAATGTTGTGGCTGCAGATACACAACATCTATTTGCATACATGTTATTTTTAATACCAAAAATACTAAAAATATCAAAGTTAGCTCTTATGGAAAACTAAAAATCAGTTAAAAATACATCTTGAAAAGTAATACTCATCATTTTTACACTGTCCTTATAGGAACCATGTCTATTTTATTTTGTTTTAAACAGAAAAATATTCTGCTATAGAAAATACCACAGAAAGCAAAAGCAAAGCTGTAAATTGAAAAAATAAAGTGGATACAAAAGCCAAAATGGTAAACTGTAACAGCAGCCTATCACTGTATACACTTGTATAAATATTTAAGAAACAGTGGATTAAGTTTACAATGCAAATGAGCCTAATAATATTTAGATTTCGGTGATAACTCTATAGAGTAATGAAAACTTCTTAGGCACCCCAAGTCTTCATTATGCTATCTTCAAACTTACAGTAAACAGTAGCAACCATTGCTTTCTGTATAGCATTTGTCTATCAAGACTTTCAAAAGCTCTTCAGTCTTCAAGCTGAATTTTCCAATTCAATTCAACTTTAAGCTCTTTCTGTGCTAATACAGAACAGTTCAAAATGTATCATTAACAGCTGAGTTTCCATGAGAAATGAAATTAATTTTTAACACAGAATAAACTCTAATGTTTTGTTTTGTTCTCTGCAGCACTATGGAGGCAAACTGAAAATAGCCTGCAGGCAACATTTGAGGCAGCAAACCACGTTTCCCAGGCTGTTTGTTTGTGAATTTGGTTTCATAACCAGAACAAGAAATTGGCATACAGTTCAGACAAAAAGGAGCCCTGCTTGACTCTTACCAGTCATAGCCCACTGCAAAAGATGTCTCAATTACAGGTGCAATGAGTTTAGCAGCTGTCATGATGTATTCCTCTGCCATGGATTTCCTAAGAAAAACAAACAAACAAAACCACTCCAGACAATCCTAGAAGTCAATCTAACCCGTCCCCTGCTACTGTCCTATATCTCGATAAAGCTCTCCATTTTGCCTTTCACCGCACATGGCAGTTGTACAAGAAAGACAGACAGACAGAAATAAAATCAATGCTGCAACTTTAAAGAAGCAGTTGGGGTAGATATTCTACATTAGTGCAATACCACTAAACTGAGTGACCCAACCAGTTCCCCAACCATGTTCTTTGCTAGGAATTATGAGGACACTTTTATAACAAAAGCTGTGGACATGTGAGAAGACCAATAGTACTTTCAGGAGCTAAAGTCCATGGCATCACAGCCAAGCAAGAACAGACTCCACCATTACCTCTCACGTTCGATTTGTCTCAAGCTGTCATTTTTAATGGCTTCAATCAGTAGATTAGTATGTGGATCGTCCTGCAGGGGGACAAAACTGCAAATTATGCCAGTATACATGCATTTTAATTATCTTATAGACAATATAACTGTAAACATAAATAGATGTAAATGACGTAATCTACAGTGTCAGTTACTTACTTTTTAAATTTCAAAAGGCTAGCTTCAGTTTGAAGTAGTTTTGTAATCGCAGAATCTGAAATTTGGCATTACAACTACTTTAAACCTGTTTTTCTCCTCATGTATGTGGTCATAGCTCACATTAGGGTTGTTAATAGGTGTAGTTAATATCATGTGTATCAGACTGGGAAGGCTGCAAGTCACAGAATATTCACACGCTTAAAAATAAGAGCACGCTTAAGCATTTGCTGAAGTGCAGTGGTACTCAGCAGATGAGGACTTGTGCTACCTTATTACAATAACTCACATGAGCATCTTGTGGTTTCTATCACACATCTGTTCATTCTAAAAAAAAAAAAAATAACGTCGGTACGCTGGGTAGCCACCCTTTCCTAATATATTGGGGATAGATCATAGCTTTACATAAAATACAGGCCAGAAGGAAACTTCTTGATTTCTTCTGTAACTCTTCGTAATAAAATGCAGAATATGTAATGTCTGTTAAAACTACAGCTTGCCTATCTTTAGAAAGAACTTCTATAGTCTAAAGCTTTTCTTCCAGTGACCCTAATCAATAATTATAAATAAATATATCTGCTTCATATATTACATTTTATTTGCTTATGCTAGGACAATAGGAAGAAACAGCTACACTCAAGGGGCAAATAGTTTGAAGACTAAGTACACCTTTGATTTAGGACTGAAAATGGAGGCTTTGCATCACTGAAAAAAAGATTGCTAAGAGAATATAAAGGACTTGCCTTGATATTTCTATAGAGGACCTTTGTAAGAGGGATCCTAAGCCTATTAATTACTTTTTCCTGTCTTTAACACATCATGAGCTGCTGGTTTCATGCTACAAAGGAAGTCCAGTTTCCAAAGTCTAATAAACTAAACCAAGCATTTTGAATATTCTTCTAAATATTCTGTAAAATAACACTACAGTATTACAGGTTTTATTAACACTCATTCAAGATAACTTGCATAAACTCACTGTTTTGCTCCCTTTATTTTAGCTTATAAATATTTTAATAAAATTTTATATAAAGGAGGGAAACCAATAAGTCAGCTATGTAAGTCAGCCCAGATGTGTTTCAACAAAATTCCTATGAAGACCATTGAGTGGTGTGGATCTTGTGTACATCATAACTTTTGAGGAAAAAAGGAACTGAATATTCTCAACATTATTTTACACTTCTGAGCAGTAGCGCTACACTAAGTTCGTGCTGGTAAAAAGAAAGTTATTTTAGATACATAAATACACATAAATTTACATATTCAGCATAGTCCAAGCATTCAATGTCTCTCCTCCTTTCTCCTGATTGACCATATAAAGACAGTGTATTTTGTTTAAACTTACATTTGGTGAAATGTATTTGTCTTCATAATCCACTTCTAAGGGAACTGCAATCAGTTTTTGGAAGGCTTTTTTCATTTGCTCGCCATTTCCAATAGCAAAATAACATAGGATCAAGTTGAAGCCTGCCTTCAAGTTTGGGGACATGCTCATTATATGTTCAAATGAAGAAATGGCATCAACATATTGGCCAGTTTTAATGAATGCAACTCCAATATTTTGCATTATTTTAATCCTAAGTAAAGAAATGAGCAGTAGGTTATATTTTTAATTATCAAATCATATTGTATCCAAAACTTGTCCAGAACCATGCTTACTAGTAGAAACTCACCTCATCTCTTTGTGGGCACTAGGGATCTGGTCTAGAGCCATACGGTAGAATTTGATAGCTTTGGAATAGTTCCGTTGTTTTAAATATATATTTCCCATGTTCACCTTCAGTCTACCTATCAAAAGAAGTCAAGGAGTTACAGCCTTCTAAAGCATAGTTACAGCACTTTTAAATTGTTGCAAAATGACAGAGTAGAACAACTAATAAATTTGTCTTCCCTATAGGGTACCAGCTGTCCTTTAAAGAAGCACTGCACACAACAACCTTCTGTGAATTTTCACTCAGAAGGAGATGAAGTAGTAATGAAATGTGGAAAAGAACTCTCAGTGCAAGATGTATTCCGATTTTGATTGTGAATTGAGGGATGAGGTAGAGATATTCATAGTGCTCTCCAGGAAGACAGCTGCAAATAAGAATAAGCATCTCTGAGAAAAGTGCACTGTAGGAGTCTCAAAGATGTGCAAAATACTAAAAGAAGCTTTCAGAAGAAGAAAGCTGAGTCAAAAGGGAAAAAAATAGTATTAGAGCAGACAATAGTGTGTGCAGCATAAGAAAATTATATATTTGGCTTCATGTTTAGCTTAGCCTATGGAAAGAAAAGACTTCATGAGCGGGAGAGCAAACTTAACCATATTTACTTATATCAAGTCAGAGATTATGAGTATCTGTTATCCACTCTGACTGGCAGACATGAGGACTGAGATCTCTAATTCAACACCATGCAGATGAAGTCCTTACTTTGAATGCCTGACTATTAACTTTAATCTACTTTGGAATGTAACCTACCTCTATTGCTGAACATCTTATTCTTCACTATCACTTGGTAAGTATTCAGTGCTTCAGCATACATTTCATTAGCAGCATACTGACTGGCCAGATTGAAAAGAACCTACAGGAAAATGGAATTATAGGTACAAGAAAATACATTGCTGTCTCAACACTAATAAACTTAAATTCATAATAGGTAATTCCAAATTAATTTTACTTTGGAAGTATTGCCTTTACCAGTTTTAAGCTTCCCATCTTTAATGTCCCCTTGTTCTTATACACTGACATAGAGAAAACAAGTTTCAAATCTACATATTCTAGGTAATTCTTTTATTTTTGTACTTAAATAACTACCATTTAAAATCATGCTGAGTGGGCCTTAGACCTATGTAAATACAGTGTTATAATGCAAAGTTACTAAAAACATTCACACAAGAAAATTCTCAGAAACCTGTAACTGTAATTTATAACTTCCAACATGTGGAAAAAGGTCCTACTACCTGTGGTCACAGTCACTCAGTTTATGAAGAGAGAATTTTTTGAAACTGCTTTTTCAAAACACAAGTTCTGCTGGTGTCAGGTAAAATACCTCCGTATTTTTTCCCCAGCTTTACTCTGACCCTCACCGTAAAATAAATTACTAGGTCTGCCTAATTCAACGTATTTATCATTATTAATTTTCTCTACAGTACTAACTGGAATATAACTTTAAAATCCCTCTAAGTATTTTTATGTATGTTGTATCCTTTGTTGGCTTTGGTCTATTGTTGTGTTTTGGGTTTGTTTTGTTTTGTTCTTTTTTTTTTGCTGCTGTTGGTTTTTTTTTTTTGAAAAAGAGTCTACTATGAATTTGAAAAACAGAATGTAAATCTGGATACCTGCTTTAAGATTCAGGATTTAGGAATATGAATATATCCTAACTCATGTAATATATTCTCTGTCACTTTATGGTTCAAATTGAACGCAGTGTCTGATTTCTTCTGCTATCTTCTCTTGGCATGTTATGTTTCTAGACTACGTATTTCTGAAGTACAGGGCTTACATCTGTTATATTTTGATATTCATGTTTTGCAATAGATGTTTACGGGTATCATTCACTTAACGTCAACTACGTGGTTTCTCTGGTACTTGAGATTGCAAAGGAATAGACTCAATGTTACAAATGGATCTTTGCAATCCAACGTTATGTTTTTAATTTCAAGAAGTCATTGACTTTATCTTCATAAGCTTCGCCCACTCCCAAATGTAGACCTTATCTGATGGGACACACTGCTAGGAGTGTTACAACACACACACACACACACACTCAGCAAACACTGAAATGACTCTTTAGGAGATTTTTTTACCAATGCCTTTCACTTATTGAAGATTTCTAACCACTTACCGAGTAAGTGAGGTCTAAGTTGATATTTTCTGGAGTAGCAATTTGCTCACGTTGTCTCACCAATACTCTTTCCTTTCTTCCAGCCTCTTTTGCTTTTTCCAAAGCCTTAAATAGAATACCAGAATTTAGCAATGCCTTGAATCTTACTAACGCAAGATGACAAACACATGTAAAACAAGTATGAAAAGAATATACTCATGTTCATTTTCTTTTGATGCAGACTGTATCCAATGTCTGAATAGTAGCAATATAACCCGCAGAAAGGTGTTAATTAGCAATAAGCAGACATACAGATGTCTATGTCTGCTTAGCTGTATTGTGTATTGTATTATCTGGTATTCTAAGGAAGAAAGCAAAGACAGGAAGTAAATATGCATGTTACAAAAACGTATGCTGTGCATATACCTTGACTAACTCTGGGTGCTGGTAATTTGCTTCCATTTATCTGTCCACAAGTGGTATTTCACATGTACATTCACAATTCTAGTAACTCCAAAATTATTATTTTATCCAATTATAATTTTCTGCAGATTGGTATCAAGACCCTTCATACAAGTAATGCTACGGGTCTACAAGTGCCATTGGCAGTCCTGTATACCTCTGCAAGGTACAACAGTTTAAAAAGCAATGGCTAGCACTCAAGGCAGCTATTTCACAGCTAGTGGTGAAGGAAGTACTTCAAGGTATTGCTTGATTCTTAGTTCTCAAGATTGAAGGCCAATCCAACTTGGCTGTTTCATAGATAATGAGTTGGCAACTTTGATGAATTCTGCAGGAAAACAGATATTCTGCTGAACTTGTCAGAAACCAACACAAACACCCTAGAGGGCCCTCACAATGGTCTGGTATAATCTAAATGAGAAACAACCCTTTGAATAGAGAAACAAAGAACATTCTTGGCCATACATGCAAGAAATACAGTCTGACTTTTTTTGAATTATCACTGAATTGGAAGAGTCATAGCAAAGTTAGAATTAAGATTATTTTAACAATTTGAAGTGTTTGAACTGAAGTCAGTTTGAAACATCTGTTCAAATTTCTCTTCACATAATAGCAAAAGTAAACTGAAATCCAGAAACCTCACCAATTTCAAGTCTCCACAGCTGTTGGCAATGCAGCTTTCTTCAACCAGTTCATTCACTTTTTTTTCCAACTGCCTAATCCTTTCTTCTGAACTGAAACAATAAAAGGAGTAACTTTAGTAACCTAACTGAAAACACTAAGTTTTTACATGGAATATTCTCAACAAAACAACATAGTGATGCACGACATGTCATAACTAACATGGTTTTCCCATCAAAGAAAATATAATGTGAAACTATGCCCAGACAAGATCCTTCAAAGATATCACATTCACATTCTTCATTTGGGAACAGACACCTAAGAAAACATAAATCTTCTTACGAGAACAAGATAGACATGCAAATTTCATCGACCCAATCTGTTCAGAAGTAATGGCAGAACAAACAGATGGGCCGTTAAAACTTTCAAAACAAACACCTCATGAAATGAAATATTGTATTAAGAGCAATTAACTGATCCTTTAATTCATAGAAAACTTTAAAGTATAGCTTGCAAATGCAGATGTGATGAATCTAGATTTTTTTCCTCAGTTAAATAACCAAACATTCAGCAAAATTCCCTATACCTATGTAGCTGTATTTGAGGAATACAACTTCTCACAGAATCACAGAACATTAGGGATT